CTGCTGCCTACAACCATCCTATGCCACCCACCCAGCTCCTTGAGAGCCAGGTGCTGCTCCTTGGGTAGTCCTGCAATGCAGGTCTCCCCCACAGCTCAGGGGCCCCATGGGCTGGGATCCTGAAGCCCATGGCCTGGATGGCTCATTCCCTGGCTTCTGCCATGGGTTGGCACCTCCAGCGGCTTGGATGCCCCCCATGGGTTAGGACCTCCCATGGTTGGGTGCCCCCATGGGTTAGGACCTCCCATGGTTGGGTGCCCCCATGGGTTAGGACCTCCCGTGGTTGGGTGCCCCCATGGGTTAGGACCTCCCAAGGTCTCCACACACCTTGAGCTTCCCTACATCTTGGCTCCCTTGCACAACTTGGGTGCCCCACAGCCCTGGACCCCACACACTCTGGGTGCCCCACGACTTAGTGTACCCCACGAGTTAGGTGCCTCACAACTCGGTGTGCTCCGTGGTGTGGTAAACCCCACCTGCCCCATCCCCTGCAGCCCCACGGCTCAGGCAGCCGTCCTGCCCCTGCTGTGCCCTCTGGCCACTGTCCGAGGGGTGCCTGAAGGGCACGTTCCCAGGCTGGAGGCAGGAGCTGGTGGCAGGTCACACGTCTGGGCTGCTCTCAGCATAGTTTCCACCAGCTCTGGCAGATCTGAGCGTGGGAGCTCTGCAGGGACGTGCTGCCCTGTCTGCTCAGTGCTGCCGTGCTTGTCCCCTTTCAGCCCAGCCTTGCTTTGGCCCCAGCCCTGTGCTTGCTGCCTTGGGGCCAGGAAGGGGTTTTGTGTCCAACGAGCCCCCCAAGGGGCCTCTGATGTGCCCCCCAGGCTGGGTGGGGGGCACGGGGCTGCTGGCTACTCCATGCATGGTACATTTAATGGGGCATGGGACTGGCAACTGGGAAACTAGGAAAAAGCAGGGGCTGGATCAGTCCTGCCAAGGGAATTGTCTCTGCAGGGTGGGAGAAGCCAGGAATAAAAGCTCCAGCCACTCTCAATGTGGTTTGTTCCCTCCTCTTAATGGGAGGAACAGCTCGACCAGGGAAGTGTTGACCTCTCTGGGGTGACACCTGTGCCCCTGGGGAGGCACTGGCCAGGCTGCTCCCTCCCTGCCTGCAGAGCTGCCTGCTTTGTGGGCCAAGCCAAGAGGCAGCTCAACAAAGAGATCTGGTGCTCCCCTCCCCATGCAGCAGGGACAACACCCTCTGCCACCCCACCAGGTCCCCTCTCCTCCTCTTGAGCAAGCCCCAAGCAGGGCACTCTGCAAGCCTGGCTCTTGCACAACCTTCCCAGCAGCTCCAGCCCCCAGCTGCTCCCCAGGGGAAAACCCTGCTGCAAACCCGTGGGGAGGCCGGGGCCAGGCTCCTCCCCCCCTGCCTGCAGAGCTGCCTGCTTTGTGGGCCAAGCCAAGAAGCAGCTCAACAAAAGAGATCTGGTGCTCCCCTCCCCATGCAGCAGGGACAACACCCTCTGCCACCCCACCAGGTCCCCTCTCCTCCTCTTGAGCAAGCCCCAAGCAGGGCACTCTGCAAGCCTGGCTCTTGCACAACCTTCCCAGCAGCTCCAGCCCCCAGCTGCTCCCCAGGGGAAAACCCTGCTGCAAAATGGAGTGAGGAGGGGGGGGGTTTGTCTGGGTGAGACCCAGTTGAGCACCAGACCCGGGAGGCAAAGCCATGTTA